TTAAACAATCAAATATATTTTTTTCAATGAAACAATTAATTTCTTTTGCAAATTTATCTGATGTCAATTCACAACTTACACCAACTTCCAAGCCAATGATTTAGAAGCCTCCATCATCACATGGATAATACATAATTTAATCAATTGATAAGATAATAACATGATTTATTTATTTTCTCACCTTAATAAACAAAATTTCAAACAATATCATTTGACTCTACAAATCATAGCACAAATTTTTAAAGAATTAAGGGATGAAAATTTGTATGTGTTCACAAAGTATTGTATTATTTTCAAGTATGTGTGCATGTGTACATATGTCCATATATATATATGATAAAATTGATTATTCTTATTCCAATCAATTATGTTAGTATAAATGATTTATCATGATGTTTGTAATCTATAAATATAAAAGATAACAAATACTAACAAATCAAAGCAGTATGATATAAAGACATGCATGTTACTTCGTCCAAAGATTAGATTAGTATTTGTTATCCACTGCTCTAATACTTTAGGTAAATTTTGATGTTTTCTTTTATCTCTTTTTTTTTTTTTTCCATCCTCTCTTTATTTTTGTATTTTATTTTTTTTTTTTCCATTATTGGTTTCATTAACAAAGGTATGATTTGAATTAATAGGTATGAATTAGGATACTCAAGCGTAATTGAATATGTAGGATTCCATAAGAATACCATCCATGATAATAATGTTCATATCAAAAGCATGAAAGGGTGTGCATAGTTGGTCTTGTTGAGTCATCTTCATAAGCTTTGCAAGGGTGACTTGATTTTGTATTAAAAAGAAAAGAAAGAAAAAAAAAAAAAAAAAAAAAAAAAAAAAGATTGGATGATTGTAGACTATGATAAATGAAAGTGATGGATGAATTCAAAGAGTTGAAATACTTGTTATAGCCATTAAATTGTTTCAACTTGATGCAGAATCAACTCATTTTGTTTGAGGGTGAAACATATTACATTTGAAATTCGATATATATATATATATATATATATATATAAAGAAAATATTTTTTTTTCATTGTATCACATATAGTCTAAAATATTATAATTTAGAAGAAGATAAAAAAAATAAATAAATAAATCACTCATATATTTTTAAATCAAAAAAAATTATTCAAAATTATATAATTGAAAGCACATAATTTTGCATCATTTCTCTAAACAATCTTCTAAATAATTGTAAACTAACATTAAAAATATAGTTGTATGTAGCACATTGTTTATAACATTTCACTATCAAAATTTGACAAGTATTCGATATTTTTATTTTCTATTTTTTAAAAAGAAATCTACTAAGTTATCAAGAAGCATTCAAGTAGAAGAATGAGTTAAAGAAGAAACTTCAAACCATAGGTATTCATCCTCATGAAAAAAAAAAAAGGCACTAATTGAGGCCAATCCACTACAACAAGATTTGATCTCATATAATCTTTAAAAAAAAAAAAAAAAAAAAAAAAAAACTCTACCATCTAATTTACAAACTCTAACATCCACACATTACTGTATAAATTTTATCACAGCTGACTTGAGCTCCATATTGTGCCAAACCTAGCACCAATTTAGTCATTAAGTCACAAAAATACATCTATATATATATATATATATAAACATTTCAAACACTCACATGCACACACATCCAAAAGACCTAAACAACCACAACCACCATTGAAAACCCAATTTTGCAATACACGTGGAAGCAATTAAATATGTGTTTGGATGCTCTTCTATAGAATCCCACAATGAGTCACAAAGCATTGGTACCATTCAAAGTCTTTGTATTGACAAGTTCACATCCACTAAACAAAATTCTAGTGCATCCCCCATTCAAACTTGGAATAATCCTCCTTGGAATCTGTTGCCCTGTTGCCAACATTAGACACGGGTTTGTTTGTCTGCTTTCAGTTTGAATTTGACCTACGGCATCACGCGCAGTCAAATCCCAATACAGCATTGCGAAATTTGTGAACATGGGATGTGCCAAAAATAGCTTCACTTGGGTATGCATCAGATTAGCATTTTTCAAAGCAAGGCTGTTGTTTTCTGCATTTTTAACCTCAAGTAGAGGACATGCATTGTTTTTCACAAATGCAAGTATTAATTTTTAATATATATATAATAAAATGAACCAGTGTATCATAATTTTTTGCAGTTTGCATATGATTTGGACATTGATTTCAGACAATGGTTTTCTGATCATTGATACAACATGTAAGAATAATATTAGTACATGGACTGTTTTTCATGCTGAGAATATACTCTTCTATAGCTTTTACTGTTAGCTTCAGCCTTAAAACCTTGGCATATAAAGCACCCTCTAAACTTAGTAGTTCTTTCAGAAGAGATTTTTTTCTCATTGTTAAACATGAATTTCTGTCACAGTGATGTTGCATGTGTTGTGGTTTTCTCAATAGAAATGCATGTTTTTCTTCTTATTGATTCCATCTCCTTGTCCTGGAACCATAAAATCATTGGATCTGTACTCGCTGCTCAATCATTTAATTAGAATTAAACATGTATTCCACATATCAATGGTGAATTAAGGTTGGAGCCAGATTAAAGAAGAAAAAAAAAAAAAAAAAAAAAAAAAAAAAAACTTATCAATCATTTGGCATTGATGCTTTGGTTGGCATCTGCTGATAATCCTCGTTTTGGTGCAAAAATGAGGATATACATTTTGTAAGGACAAGGTACAATAGGATGGTCCAAATAGTGTAGCCCAGCTATTTGGGTCTATTTTTTAAAGAAAAGGACATGTTTTGGTACAAACAAAAGAGATTGTTGAGTTTTTTGTTTTAAGTTAAAATTAATAATAAAAATTAATAATAAGAATAATATAATATAATATAAATTTTCCTACTTGGAAAAAGTTTCTTAGATTAAGACTTCAAAAAAAAGGTTTACAAAGGTGTCAATAAGGCAAAGATTATTTGTGTTGTTTAGTTAGACATAGAGGCTCTTGGATGTTCAATTTCAAAGAGGGTGTCAAAGGAGGGAAATAGGTTGCAATTAAATTCTATAAATATTGGAAAAGGTTCATGATATATATATATATATATATATGTGTGTGTGTGTGTGTGTGTGTGTGTTTTGAGTTGTTTAGGAATGGGTTGTTTAGGAACATATATATGTGTTAAAAGCAGCCCATCTACAGTTGTAGCAATCGCTCTTTGCAACCTTTCTATCTTTATTTTGATTTTTTATAATTCGGTTTTCAAAGAGAGACGTGTATTTTTAGTTACTTTACAAATGTCGTTCTCAGCTTATTTATAACATTATTAGGTCAATATTTTCTTGTCCATTTTCTTCTTTTGACATCATGTCATTTATGTATTTTACTTTTATTTTTATTTTTGTATCTTTTGAATTGTAAAAGATAAACTTTTTGACTTTTGAAATATGATATTCTAATGGTTTGAAAAGAAAAGAAAAACATGGCAAAAGCTTTTTCCTGATGTGTTCACGGATGAATTGATGACACATTTATGATACACTAACTTTTGTAAATATGTTCTTCTTTATCTTGCAATAGCAAAATATAACAGAATAAATTTCAAGAAATATAGATTCCTGTATCGTAATATATGGTAAGCATTTAACGTGAATATGCACTCTTTTGAGAAAATTTATATGTATAAATTATGCTAATTTTATGTGATGTATTTATGGAAACACATTATTTTAATAATTTATTAAATGAATGCTATAAATAAGTATTTTTTTTTTAAATATCTACAGAATGTCATTGTGAAATTCTTCTTAAGATAATATTATATTCTACTTTTGATTTATACTTCAATAAGAAATATTACAAAACTTAACAAAGATATTGTTATCACATTGGTGGGCTTGCAACTGTTTCTTCACTCATATGTCCTCAGCTAAGTATCTCTCTATCTTATAGAGAAAACAACTTGGTGTGTACAAGTTGTATACTTTGCACCAAAAAATCTGCTTACGTGTCCATTAAGCTGCTTGATTATTCATCAAATCAGCAACATGAATAGGCTTTGCATCAAAAAAAAAAAATAAATAAATAAATAAATAAATTATAAGTATGAAGTAACAACAAAATAAACTCAACAAGTTTTTTGAACATGTGAAAATCTATATCTAACTTTAATTCAACATAAACAGTTCAAAAATATTGAATGTGATTAATAAGATGGAAAAATCAAGTAGCATTCTTCAAATGCAGAAACTATAAAATCATAAGTTCCAACTTTTTAATTTTGCACATTTTGTGCATAGATAGAGGGCTGCATCGAACATATCATAGTGATGCAAATACTCACACACAAAATTATAGAAAATGTTAACTACTATTCACTATGAAAGGTGCATGAACTGCAAAATCCAAATCGTGTAGAACGAAGAATATTTGGGCAGATGATAGAGATGGTTCATTAGTGAACACATTCCTACAATTCTGAAGCAGACTTGGTGAGTCACATCGTGCATGACATGGAGTGAGGATTTTGTTGAGTGGGGTGAGAAACCCAGTTGCGTACAAGTTACAATTCCTCTTCAGGAATTGTAAAAAGGACATATTTTACTGCGCAGAGTGGGACTGCCACCTGCATCCCTCCTTAAATTTTGTTCACACGTACTCACAATTCTTGGAATATAGAACCAGCACTTCAACTCTGTAATCCATTGGACTGCTTGCCCCTGAAATCTGTGCCTCCCTGTTTTGCTGTGAAGTTGAGTATAACAGTAACTGCTGCATAACTTGGTTCGTGAAATTGCACAGACAGATCACGATTCAAAGCAACATAAGAAAAAGATGCATGAATGAGCTTATTGAAATGAAAATGGTAACCCACATACAAACTCCAGCTCAGAAACAGCTCCTGAACTCGAGCACACATTCGAAATAAGTTGAGAAACAAATCAAGCCAGTTCGTGGAGTGCATGTGAGTTTGCTACAGAAATCTCTCAAAAGATCAAGTCGACAAACCCGGAGCATAAACACTAGGATGTTGTTCACACAGTTTTAGAAATAGCTGCTATATATACACACGAAAGCACCCCATACATAACTAAATTGTTGAAAAGATATGTAGTAACAGCGACACTGAAAATATTCGGACACTCACACGAAAACTAAATTATCTACCAACCGTGGACATTGAGAATCAGCACTCAAACAATGAGAGTTCCTTCCTGATTCAAGAGGGAAAAATCTGGTTGAATATGCTAGACTAAAATATGAATCACCACCCTCTTAACAGATCTAATCAGTTTCAATAAAATAGAAAAAAGAAAAAGAAAAACTTTTAACACGAATGCTAACAAGTCTGGTATCTTAAAAACAGGAGTCTGCACATTGTTGCGCCAAGATCTTATGAGAGACTTTCAATTGGTTTCTCTCCGTATCTCTTTGCATGATAATTGCATCTGTTGATGTTGTATTCCGCGATGCCAGCACACATATCTCGTGCAATGCAGTCGGTCTTCATCAAGACGCAATCAACATTCAGGGACGACCAGTGAGGCACTGTGAACGATAATTCGCTTTCTTCCACCATCGCTGAGGCTAAAAGGATCCACCGTAAACGGCCATGGTGATCGACACGACCTCAAAAATTGCTCATATTGGAGCAGACTCATTTCTTCCTGTGAACTTTATCCTTAACCCAACGTAAGCTCGTCGAAGTGCCTGACTTCATTTTCTGTGCACTATGTGTAGCAGCAGTCTTCGTCTTTTCTACACTGCTGGACGCTGCAGCCTTCAGCTTCTCCATCTTGCTACTCTTTCGCCTTCCTTGGGTGCCGTCAACATCATCATCGAAGTTCCTGTCCCATTCGTCTGCCCAACCGAGACCGTTTGAATCCTGCCTCTCATAAGTTGTCATCTTTGTGAGAGTTAATGACAAAATAGGGCCTCCAAATTGAATAGTATTTTGTAGTAATCAAACAGCAAATAAAATACTGTTAGAGCGCAGATAATCAATTGAACCTGCCAATGAACATTGTACACGAAGGTCTCAGAACTATGCAAAAACGGTCATCACAACAGTTAATTACAGCACAAAACTTTACAACAAATTAATATAGCCTCAGATCTGCGTGATAGTCACAGATGGAGGGCCACCAAAGTAAAGACCCCAAAAATCCAACCACCCACAGTTTTCTTTTCAAACAACACAACTATACGCCACAAGAAAACAAGAAATCCCCACAACGAAAACAAAGCATCATGGTCATCAATTATGCTTTCACGTCAAGAAAACCGAGAAAGTTTCAAAACACTAATCTGCTTCACAGAGATAACGCAAACACCCAAAAAAACACACAAAAATAAATAAATAATTACATAAAAATCGAGTGTGCACCTCTTAATGCTGAACCGAAACGCACAACCCGATCTTAGAAAACCAAGCTCAGGGTGATCGAATCAAAAAGTTGCAAAGACAAAGACACCAAATTAACACAACAACCTCTGTATTGCAAGATGATGAGATTATGAAGTACTGACACAAGGCACCAAATTCGACGCGGCTACATCTCCCACGCGCAGATCAAACGAGGAGGAAGCAGAAACGGGAGTCGAAAGGTGCATCCACGTTGCACCCAATTGCGCACCACGATACTCCAGCAAATGCAAACCACCCAATTAATTGCCTACACACTCTCACACACAATTCAACTCACTTACAATGGGCGGTGCAGAAAAAAAAAAAAAAAAAAAAAAAAAAACATTGGTTTCAAAGAAGCTTCGAAGAAGCTGCATTCCCCCGGCGGGACCGACGCGACGGAGGCGCCTCCTGGTCCAACCGTATTTGTTGTCCCACGTGGACGACACGTCGGTTTTTACGTGGCAACGCGGGAAACCTCCTTGGAAACACTTGGCGAAATATAAAGAATACCCCTGAAGTCTTGATAACAGCAAATCTATCCCTCACTTTAGTGTTAATTGCAATTTTGCTATTTGTTTCATGTTTTTTTGTTTAGTTTGAACTGGGCCCAACCGCGGAATTTTCTCAGTTTCTGGGCTCCGCATGAGATGGGCCCCTCAAATCTTCGTAGCCAGTCTTCACAAACCGATCAGAGCTCGTTGAACTAGATCACTTCCGCGCCCGACAGCTTCCGTGATCACCGAATTCGGAGTTTCATTCGCCATGATCAAGTACCTCCTGGGCCGAATCAACCTTCACCACACCCACCACAGAGGGCCCTTGCGGTGCCGGCCGTTTTGATCATGACTTTTGTCCTTGAATCATTTACTTCACTTGATTAAATTACTTTTAATATAGACAAAACTTTCCAAACAACCAATTAAATTTTTTGCTTGTCTCATGAATGATTTATGTTGAGTCCAAGTACAGGTTGAATATTTTAAATTTTACATATAAAGTTACATGAAATCATTTTTTTAAAAAATAAAAATCAAATGAATTTTCTCATTTAAATTTAAAATTTAAAATAACATGATTTGAAACATAAATTTTTAATAATAGAGATTACTCAAATTAAATATTATTAAAAAAAAAAAAAAAAAAAAACACACACACACACACACACACACGATTCAAAGGTACTATGATATGATCTTTCGTAGCAAGGCAACATGCAAACAATAGTATCTATTGTACAACCTGAAGAATTTAGAGAATATTAAATCAATCCCCCTAAATCTTAAATAGATCCATTATCAATAAATACAAACAATTGTTGATTATTTTCATTATTTCACATCCTCAAAAACTTCTCTTCTTGCCACACCTTTGCACATCCTTCTGCACAATTCACTCCAACTTTCCTCTCATGTAAAATAGTTTTTATGTTGCTTGTTTCTACCTTTCAAAGTGACCTCTCACACACAAATTTTCTATTCTTCTTCCAAGTTGCTCCATTATAGCCCTTCCCACAAGTTTCATCCTATGCCCTCTCACCATCTTGCAAAATAAATACATCACCAAGTGCAAAATTTAGTGATCAATGAGAGAGTGCGAAAATGAGGAATTGGTAAGGAAATACAAAGTCCTTAGTAGTGTAAGAACAAAGCAAAGTGGAGACTTGTGGGTTGATTTAATATTTCTCAAAAAATTAACCATGATATTTTTAACATGTTATCATCTTTTATACCAATATCACATTTTTTTAAAAATATAATTTAAAAAATCTTCTAGAACTAAGACTACTAAAAAAATGATTAAATTTAGTACATACCTACTTTAGTAAAGAAAAAATCTTCATTTGAATAGATTTTTTTTTTTTTTTTTTTTTTTTAAAAAAGTGAATTTTAAATGTGAAGGGATAATGCCTAAAATTTGTGTCTTAAAAATTATGTCTTCAAAAAACATAACTCAAAATAAAATTGGAATTTATGTAGATAAGTTTTGAGTGTTGGATTTTCACTGGGTGGGATTTGAGCTTGGCAAACTTTTATTTTTATCCTGTTTAAATTTTATGCAGATAATAAAAAACCAAATGTATCTCTGTTTATATATATATATATATATATATATATATATATATCTTGCAAAAAAGAATTAAAATACTTGTACATGTATATGTAACCATATAAATATGCATAGTTTGGAATTCATTGAGGAAAGCAGCTTGAAAACCATCCATAAATGACTGCAGCTTTACAATCTACTTCAGGGAAGTCCATGTTTATTTGAGGTTCACTCTAATTAAAAAGAAACTCTTCAGCACTGAAGATGGAAAATGCCAGGGTCTGATATCAACTTTGTACAACAGAAGGTGCCTCTAAGAGGTACTTCTTCCTTGAAGAACAAATGATTAAATTTGTGATATTGATGTGATGCACAGGCTTCTTCGGTGTGGCCACATTGTTTGTGCGCTTCAGTACCAACTGTACGCAACAGAGTTTCAGGAAAGCAGCACTCTGGGTGTTGGAATTTGTGCAGTTGTCCAGAAGCATCTATTATAATTGTTTGACAGGGACACACTCCTAACATGTGGTAGTGATGTAGCAATGTAATTTACAAAAAAATTATAATCAAAATATATTTGAGTGAATGACAGTAAATTTAACTTAACAAGCACATGTCAAGGATAAATTTAACTTAACAATCACACTAAACTAGTATCCAGATTGGGTTTGCTTACAACTTTACCAAAATTAAGTTCCTTTGATGGCTTTTCATTGCTATTGCATGGAAGTATGATTCACATGTCATTGGTGAAAATGTGCAGAACACAATTTAGATGAGGGACAATAATCTACAACCATGCAAAAGCGTTGTTTTCCAGTGACATACTATTAGTGGGAAGTTTGTTACGTAATTATTATTCAGAAAGCTCAGTGTTCAAAAAGTAAGCACGGATGTGCTTCATCAACCAGGATTCTCCTGAAAAGATCGCAAAGTGACACCAAGAGATCCTTAAAGTAACTACGACCATGTAAGAATTGATTCCTGAGAACCTGTGGTCACGTCGAAGTAGTCATCACATGTTGTGGCCGTAAACGTAGAAACTATTCTCATCCATGGCCGTGCAAACACTGGTCCCACGTCAATAACCTCTGTAGCAGATGTGTCGAAAAAATGTGAATTAGGGTCCAAGGCAATGGAGAGGTTTATGAGATCGTCAGTCACCATTACCAAGAAGGTGTGCTCACCAACTTTGCCTTGATCTTTAGTTTTTAGTTTAGTTTAGTTAGGTTCATTTTTTTTCCTCTGCTTTTGGCCAAGTTCCCATCACCTAGGAAAATAAGAGGGCACACATACAGCCCATTAAATAGAGATCATTCGCATGTCTCACAGCTCAAATGTGTAAAGAAAGGAGCATCTTCTGAACAATCCCTAGTGCAAAAAGAGTATTTCTATCTTTTACTCTCACAAGCGCAAATATACAGCAAAACAATCAGCTACACGCTGAGCACCGCCAAAATTCGGGTCAAACATTCAACAAGGAAGTAGCTATTTCATAAATCTCGTCAAGACATTCATAGTCTTGAAGAACAAATTAGTTACAAAGTCGACTGAGATATCATCGTATGAATGGGTGCTCCACGCTCATTTCCAATTAGCGGTACTGCAGTAGGCACCAAAACCGATCAACACATACCACAACAAAACCAAAACTAGCCTACTATACGACTTTATTCCAAACACACAGCACTCTGCATTCTCACACAATAGAAAGCAGATCCTCCGAATTCATAGCCAGCCAGGACGTAGTACCTTCACAAATCAAATATCCTTGGAATAGATGCGGAAGCACTGGCGGCAAGTGTTGATGCCGTACTTGCGGATCATGCCACATGAGTTACCGCACACCCGACTGCAGATACAAGCGACCCATTAGTTCAGTAGCTAAGCCACTCGTGGAGATTCATGCCTCCATGAAATTCCGTAGACAGAGTACAAAGTAGCTGGATACGGGGCAAGCATCACAGACACATTATTCATGGATCCGTCCGGCCACCTTTGACCCAAAGTAGTATTTCAAAGCGCAATTATGGTTAAGACGTTCACAAGCACACCAAACATCAAGGACCATACAAGTTAAATGAGTCCTCAGACGAGCATTACGGCAGCTTTTACGACCGCGAGGCCTAAGGATTGTGATTCAAAAAGTCCAGATAGAAGCGCTGAAGTACAAGGGGAAATTAACATGAACACCTCCATTGTTCTGTTATTGCAATGTGTCGCACTCAACCCTCATAATTTCAAAACATGTAACAAATAAACATACAAATAAAAATAAAATAAAAATCTCTCTCTCATGCGTCTAACATGGCAACGAAAGCCAAAAGGAAGACCTGAAGCCGAATCGAATCGGGCTGGCACAAACCCTAGAATCGCAAAGACGCCAAAGTTGATGGGCACAAAATAGAAATGAAATCAAGAGAGGGTGTTGAGTTACCAGGTGCGAGATCCCGGACCGTATCCCTTGGGGTGTGAGTTCCACACTGTTTCGTGACCCATGCTTGCAAATGGAGCAGGAAGAGCGTCGAGCGCAACTTGGGTTGGGATGCGACGCAGCAGCGAGGGGCCAGGAGAAAGAGTGCTGCGGGGTGATGGGATTCATTCGAAACCGCTATTCATTCCAAATTAGGGTTAGGGTTAGAGCTACGGACTCCCACACAATTGAATGGTACGTGGAATCCCTTACGCTTCCACGTCACGCCCCAGATTCTTCATGGAAGACTGTCTCACAACTCGAAGCAAAACATTTTATAAAACTCAGGAACATAACGGATCACTGTATCAGTGAAATTAAAAAAAGAACAGAATATTGCAACCCTAATATGCGCTACACATTTTATTTTTGTCCTTGTTAGTCAGGCATTGATTAGTCTCCTGGACATCTTCTACCTCATGCCCCGGACCATGAAACGTCGCACTGGACGTAATCAACGATTGTCTTCAAGGTTCTCGACGTGGTGGGATTCTTCGTCCGCAACCGGCTTTCCGATCCTTCAAACCTTGGGCTCATTTACCAAAATTACGCTTGAGCGCCTGTTCAAACATTTGTTGCAATCTCGGCGACTTGCACTGGAGTCTGAGCCCGAGGTGAAAGCCAACAGAGCACGCTCAGGGATCGATTCATTCTTCCACACACCGAGCGTCGAGCTGATCACCGACATGGCGGAGTGAACCGAAAACCATCTTCTTACTGCAATAGCAATGTCGGGGTGATTCGATGGCGGTGAGGTCGAACATCGTCACCGTCTCGAACTTCCACAACCGACATCGATCATGAGACCACGCATTGCAATGAGCTCAAGCTCATGTCATCTCCGTCTTTCTTTCTCAACACGCTTGATGGGTGGCATTGTTGTAGATCCACAGCACCGACACTGACCATCTAGTAAATCCCACGTTGACGTCGTCGTTCTAAAGAAAGGCGTCGATACAATCACTACTTTCAAGTGGTTGTACAGCATGTGTTGTACAAAATTCTATGTAGAATTCCATAGTGTTTGAGAACAATGCTAATTATTGTGGATCTTTTCAAGTGGCTTTGGCCACATTGCAAAACAATTATTTGTCTTAATTTTTCTATTGATTTGTGGATATTTAGTAAAAACATAGTAGTTATATAACAAGTGTGTATTTTGACATGTAGCTCAATGTCAAGAACATGAATATCAAAGAACAAAACAATCAATACATTTTTGTGTCACTCAAAAAGACTAAAAAATACCTCAAAAATGATATAATATTAAATTAGAATGGCTATCTCCTAAGTCAAGAAAATTAGAAAGACTTGAAACAAGATTAAGGACTACAAAAGCATTGACAAGAATGAAAAAGGCTTCAACTTTGCCTCCATATATACTATCTAACTAAAAGCTATGAAATAACATTTATTCTACCAATTAAATACAAATATGTGTAAAGTCAAAGCCACATCTATGAAACTTCTAAGAAGCTTTTCTACAAGATATTATCAAATTTATTTACTTTAATCTACTTCTATCTATTCATATTATCTAGGTAATTATTGGAGTAAATATATATATGTTTATGATGACAAAACCAAATTCTTAGTCTTAAGTCATTGTATTTGTATTAATGTTCAAGTTAGTTTTTTGTAATTTTTTTATAACCAAGATGATGATGTATGTAGATTGTGTTAAGAACAAATCTTGGTCTACTTGAATGGAATAAATACAATATTAAAAAATTTCACCATTCAACAATATAAATATGATTCAAAGCTTAAATAATGACTGTAAAATGTTAGCAGTATATAGAGTATACTAAAAATAAAACTTCTTTATTAGACTTTTTGTCAATACATTGATTTTAATTTTAATTCTATTTAAAGAGGCTTTGAAAGAAATGATGATTCTTTATAATCATGTGTATTGTAGCTTCTTTTTATCCAATAAAAAGAAGCTACAATACACATGATTATAAAGAGAATAAGCTTTCTACACAAATAATTATTAAATGACATGAAGCTTTGCACTTTTCATTCAAATTCTTATGAGATTAATATTTTTTTCCTATAATGAATATATTAAATTTATAACTCAAAGTTCTAAAAAAATTAATTTTAATTTTAAGTATATATATATTTAATTTAATATTTTATTTATTTAAAAATATAAATTATATAATTAAAGAATTAAAGAATTAAAGAATTAGACAACTAATTATGTTTAAATATGAAATTCTTTCTTTTCAAATTTACATCAAAATATGTAAACAAAGTTAATGTGCATAGGGTAATAGAATATGTATTTTGGTTTTTATTCTATAAAACAATTAGTAGATAATGTGAGATTGTTAATAGACAATAAGGTCCTATGAATTATTTAATATGAATTTTAGCTTATTTATCTGGTTTTATTAACATATATGCTTTAAAAAAATTCAATAAAGAAGGAAGATGTGACTTAAATTATCAAATATCTTATTTGATGATATTCATTAATTTTTATTATAGAAGGAATTTAAAAGAAGAGAAAAAAGAAAATCATTTAAAATCTCTTCTAATCTTGTTTGTCTTTAAAACATTGTTTTGTTTTTATTAAAGAAGATGTTTTAATATCTCTTGAGATAATAAAGGAAAATTAATTTAGATACTTATTGGAATGGACATATTTTACATATGCTTTAATTTTTTAATTTAAAAAATTAAAATTAAAGTCAAAACAAGAAGACATTCTATTAGATCACCTTTTTATTAAATTTTTTCATCCAACTCTAAATTTCTAAGTTTAAAAAATCTAAATCTAAGATGAAAATTTTAATTTAAATGATCTTAGAATTCTTCAATAACTAATAACAATTTAGATAACAATTAGATATAATGATCTAAATATCAATAAGACACATCTTTTTATAAGATTTATAATACTTTTTGCAAAGAATAAGTCTTTTTCAAGCTTAGAAACTACTTAGAACTTTAAAGATTGATGATTCAAGTTCATTCAAAATTACAATTTAATCTTTAAGATTTGATATTTAAGCAAATCTTCAAAGGACTTGAATTCAAGTAGGTTAATATAAAAATCTAAACGAAGATAGTTAAAGAATTTGAGTTGATATAAGATGGAAAAATTTGAATGATATTAATTTTAAAAAATTATTTATAGCTTTTAAATTTTAAATTTTAATATTTATAATCATAGAAATACAAAACTATTAAGATGTGACACTAAAAAAGCTCTATATTTCAAAAAAAAATTGCTATGACTTCTTTACAAATTGTTTAAACATACAGTTTTTTACAAAAGCTATTCTTTTATGATTCAAAAGCTTGTATATAATGTTGTTTTCTTTAAAAGATATGTATTTGTGGACTATTTGTGTAACAAGATATAGATAAGATATTTGTACACATAGGAATAAATAGTTAGAACTATGGAAGTTTCTAGAATTAGAATTAGGTTAGTAGATCGAGTAAGTTCTATTGTGGAAATTTCTAAAAAGAATTTAGGGTGATTATTTAGATGGGGCCTATCATAAAACCTTCTAGAAGGAATTTAAGGTGATTATTTAAGTGGATTCTACTACCTAAGAATATTTTAAAAATTCAGGGGCGATAGAATAAAATATAAATAAGACTGAGCAGGGCCTTTTGGAGCATTTAGTCATATATGGTTTTAAATCCTTTCTCTTAGTAAAATTTGGTTTTGCATCTGTACGTTTAGTTTTTTTCTAGTCTATTTGTGATGAGGCTTATTATTGTTAAAGGTTAGAAGGGTCTTGGATTTTTTTGAGATAGTCTGATTCTATTCTATTGGTATCAAAGCAAGTGTTAGACTGTTTACTTTTGGTAGTCTTTCAAAAGTCATCATCTAGTCCAAGATCAGTTATTATAGTCATATTAGGTATTGTATTGAGGCTACTACAAGCTATTTGAAAAAAGTCAATTGAGAGGTGAGAAGGCATTACAATAGTAGAATCTAGTGGAGAAATTACAGTATGGAAGATATGTCAAAACAATCTTAGATGGAGGCTCAAATACAACACCTCTTAGGCCACATAGCTACTTTATAAGGATAAGTAGAAGCATGAAGGACAAAAGAGTTGATAATTGCTAGGTTGATATTGAGTAAGCCTAGTACAAACTCTGAGACTTCAAGACAAGAAGATATATGTCAATGGTTCTTTAATATGCAACAATACCTCCAACTATCTAGAGCAAATACCATTGAAGGAATTATATATGCAACTAGCTATTTGAGAGATGCGGCAGTCATTTGGTGGCAACATTGAGTTCAAAGCTATGGAGCTCAAGGTGGATTTTGTGATTGGGAGGAATTTGAGACCTAATTTAGAAATCAATTTTGGCCCATCAATGTGAAAAAGATAGCATGCAATCAATTGACAAATCTTACATAATTTAGGTTGGTACAAGATTATGTCTCCTGATTCAAGTCCCTATGTCTTCAAATTGACAATGTTTTAGAAGCGGAGATCATAGATCGATTCCTATGAGATTTGAAACTTGGAATCCAAGGAGAGATGGAACTAAGAGATCCACAAACATTCAAAGAGGCAATTCGGATTGTAGAGAGGGTCGATGCTATAGATTTCAAAAATTGTAGAGTACGACGTATATGACGAAGTCATATGATACTATTTAATACTATGAGATAACAATCAATGCCAATGAAGATTGATGCCCTACAAAGATCATTGACACCACAAAGATGACAAATATTGGTACAAAAGAGATTGTGTTTTTATTATTGGGAGGCAGACCATCAAATCAGAGGTTGTTTAAAACGTCAAAATTCAAGTATCAGCAAGACAAGGCGAATTCACAGTCTCAAATTTCACTAAGTCGGTAATAAGACATAGTAGAAAAATGGTGCTCTTTAATTAAGGCATCAATGGTTAGTATTGAAAATAAATACTATCTCTTTGAGACAAATAACATGGCCTTAATAATTATAAAAATAGTTAATTGGTGCATTTAATAAGACTATTAAGAAGACAACTATGTTGAGTACTTGTAGATTGTGGCTCTATAGAAAATTGCATCCCAATTGAAATTATTGCGCAGCTTGGAATTAAAACTAAGGCAATCAAAAGAGGAAATATATACCTTGTAGATGATCAAGAGAACGTATTGAGTGAGACGTATAAAGAAGAAACCTTGAGATTAATTGATACTTACATCTTAAGAGAGAAGTTCAAGTGACAAAGCTAAGTTATGATATTATCTTTGGTATGCCATGGCTAGAGATGGGAAATAAGTAGGTTGATTGGGTAGCAAGGACAATCTCTTTTAAAGATGGAAGATGCAAGGTGACTTTTTCCACCTCCACATTAAGTGAAAAGAAAAGACAATGTGCAATCAAAAAATTATTTATAGCAATAACCTTTATAAAGAAGCAAATATAGCATGAGCAACCGATATATATGGTAGTTCCAAATCTTGCATCAATGGTAGAAAGACAGCCAAAAAGGTAGAAGAGATAGAACAACTCATACAAAATATTAGGATGACTTTTCAACTAACATACTTAGTAGTATGCCTCTTGATTGAGGTGCCCTGCTTTCAAATAGAACTATTGCTTGGAATCAAACCAAAAAGTCGACCAATTTATTGCCTAACACCAAAAGACTTGAAAAGCTGCAAAAGACATTAGAATTTTTTTTGGATAAAAGCCTGACCTAAAAAAGCACATCACCATAGGGAGCACATGTACTCTTTGCATTTAAGAAGGATGGTGGACTTTGCCTTTGCATCAACTATTGAGGCCTTAATAAGTAGATTGTTAAAAATGCATATCCACTTCCATACTTGGATGATCTTTTTGACCAACTTTGAGGTACAATCATCTTTAGTAAATTAGATCTTTGGAGCAACTATTAGAAAATACGTGTTACAAAAGAGGATATAAAAAAGACAATATTTTGTACATGCTATGGACATTTCAAATGATTGGTTCTACTTTTTGGCTTCATTAATGCTCCAACTTCTTTTATGGGTCACATGGAGAGATTGTTTTAAGACCTTTTGGACAAATATGTAATCATCTTCATTGATGATATTCTTGTATATAGTAAAATCCTTGAAGAACATGAACAACATCTACAAAAAGTGCTACGTCAAATTAAAAGATAGTTGCTTCTTTTGCAAGCAATCAAAATGTAAACTTTGGAAGTTGGAAGTCACCTTTTTGGAGCATGTCGTGTCCTCTGAAGGCATGCATATGGAACAAGATAAGGTGAAAGCAATCGAGGATTGACCAACCCTTAAAGTTGCTTCTAAAGTTCACTCATTTTTAAGCCTTCCTAGATACTGTTGCTATTTTATTTGGCAATTTGCTCATATTGTTGTCTTATTGATAAGCCTATTAGAGTAAGGTGCCTCATTTGAATAGAAACTGGAGCAACAAAACACTTTTGATAAGTTGAAGGAGGCACTCATTATTACTCCAATATTGCAACCATATGATCTTAATCTTCCTTGTATACTTGACATTGATGCTTCTCACTTTGCTATTGAAACAATCCTTCAACAAGACTTTAGTAGGGGCCTTCAACTTGTGGTATATGAATCATACAAGCTCAAAAGGATAAAGCGCAATTACTTTGCATATGGTCAAAAGTAATTAGTGATTGTACATACCACAAAGATATGGCAATATTATCTATTAGGGAAGCTAATGGTTGTTTCGACTAACCATTGATCCTTACTACATGATTTGCATCTAGAAAATATAAAATTGTAGCATTATTGTTGGAAAGAACAATTATAATTTTTTGATATCCAACTTGAGTACAAAAAAAGGCAATAACATATTGTGCCAAACAACTTATCACGGTGATCAGACTTGAAAGATAAATTGAGAGATAAGTCAGAAGTTGCTACCATTACTAGTGTCATTTTAAATCTAACAAAAGAGATAGAATAAAAAAAATCTATATATTGAGATGCTCATTTTAAGATGGTTAGCAATTGATTGAAGGTAGTTGATATACAGTATCAAGATTATACTCTTAATGATGGCTTGCTCTATTTCAAGAAGTAGATTTATGTACCCGATAATGCTATACTCCAAATGCACATACTTTAAGAGGGACATGACATCCCAATATCTGGACATTTGAGACAAGAGAAGACTCTAGAACAGATCTCAAGAATATGATTTTGTGCAGGTTTGAATTGTAATGTTTAAACATTTGTATGCTCATGCAAGTCAACGTAATAAAGCTCTATATTTTGCAAGTGAAGGAATTTCATACCAAGCCAAAATGCTTTCCGAATTGACACCAATTACTATCACCACCAGTTGTAGTTGATGACAAATAAAAATATGAAGTGGAGAATATTTTGGAGTATTGCTATCTTTGCCATGGTAATAGATGTCCACAACTTCAATACGAAGTTCTTTCAAAGTTTATTCTATTCACGATGCAAGATGGGAACCTCCACAAAACCTCATCCATTGCCAAAAGATAATTTGGAGATAACATTGGGAGCAAAACGAGGACGTTTTATATTAATGGACGAAGATTAACTGTAATAGGGTATAGATAAGATATTTGTATTTTTGATACATAGGGATATATAGTTAGAACCATGGAAGTAGGAGTACATAGGGATATTTAGTAGACAGAGTAGGATCTATTGTAGAACTTTTTAGAAAGAGTTTAGGACAATTATTTAGGTAGGACTCACCATAAAACCTTCTAAAAGGAGTTTAAGGCAGTTACTTAAGTGAGATCCTATCACGGACATATATATTTACCTCAAAAAGCTAACCATGTATTGGTAGCTTGTGGAATAAGTTACTTCCATGTAGTAGCTTGTTGAACAAGCCAACTACGTGGCGCATACATAGATAACTTGACTTGCAAGATAAGACATGTAGCTAGCAAAGTCAACAAATGTTGGAGGTCCTATAGGACATCGCCACGTGGCTCTTAGTTAGATAATATATATATAGAAGCAAGAGTGAAGCCTTCTTCACTCTTGTCAATGCCTTTCTAGTCTTAGTCTTGTTTCAAGACTTTCTAGTCTTCTTGTTTTTGGCAATAGCCATTCTAGTTAATATTACATCACCTTTTGAGTGACTTTCTAGTTCTATTCAGTGATAGAAGAGTGTATTGTGGATTCCCTTTCTTCGAGATTCATGTCCTTGACAGATCCACTACCCAAAAATATTCTAAAAAGTCTAGGGTGGTAGAACAAAATATAAATAGGGTTGGCCTAGGCCTTTTGGGGCATATATTCAGACATAGCTTTGGACCCTTTGTCTTAGTAAAATTTGGTTTTTAAACTTTTTGTTCAATTTTATTCTGTTCTGTTTCTATTTGCTCAGTTTTGTCTTTCATGTCCTATTCTGTTTAGTTATATTCAATTTTGTTCTAGTCTATTTGTAATGAGGCTTATTGTTGTTGCAGATTAAAAGGGTCTTGGATTTTTTTGAGATAGTTCGGTCTGGTTTCAATTTGGATTCAAATATATATATATATATATATATATATATATATTAAACTAGAATTTAGAATAATCTTTATACTATGAAGTTTATTTGATTTAGATTAATTTAATATTATCAAAATTTTTAAAAAATTACATGCAAAAACTATTAATTTAGATTAAAAAAAAAACAAACAAACAAACAAACAAAACAAACAAAACTACAAAATAAGCCAAGATTTTTAAGAGATGGAACAAATCTTAGACAAAATGACTTTTCATTGTAGAAAAAAGAATTTAAAAATTAAATAGATTTTTAGAATGCCACAAAGTGACTTCATGATTTATACAAGTTTAAAAGAGCAAGCATTCTTGTGAAATACTTTCATTATTTGTTCTTATATCCACCTTAATAAAAGACATAAAATTAAAAATAGATTTATTTTTTAATTTATCAAGTTCAATCAGATCATTAGATATATCTTATTTTTTGTTTTGTTTTGTTTTGTTTTTTTTTAAACTTTAATAATAATTATATCAATGACCTATTATATTTATTATTCTTTCTACAAAAATTAAAATGATAGAAACCAAATATATATATATATATATTTTTTAACTTTAATATTAATTGTAACAATAACCTATTATATTTATTATTCTTTCTACAAAAATAAAAATGATAGAAACCAAAAATCTTCTAAGAATTAGTAGATTACACCTTGTTTTATCATTAATAGAATTTAAAGTACTTTTAATTCTAAATTTTCTTATATTAAAATAATTATAATTTATGTTTTGTGCAATAATACACCATGACTTTAAAATATTTCTTTCACTTATCAAATTTTTATTAAAATTGACTTTAAAACACTTTCTTTTTAATAATAATAATTTTTACATATAGAGAATTGTAAAAAATAAAAAAATAAAAATAGAGAGTAAAAAGCTGATTTATTTTTTAAAACTTATACCTATTACTATTTTCATACTTTTCAAAAAAGTATGCATGCAATTAACATAAATGCATACATAGCTTGTGGTTTACTATGTATGCCATAAAGTATGTGCATAGTTATGCACACATGCATTATTATTTTTTTAAATGCATTGCATGATTTTAGCTTGCATATAGTAGACAACCTAGCTCATTCTACCAAAAAGAAAAAAAAGAAGGAGAATGTAATTTAAATGGTTTCTAATTTATTAGGTAAATTTTAATAATGTCACAACATTGCATTGTTGATAGTATCTCAAGGCATTATGGTGACAAATCTATAAGAAAATTCTAATTTAATGTGTAAAATAAAATAACTACAGTGTAACAACTAAAAAAAAACGTAAATCTTACACTAAAACAACTTGTATAATTTTTTAATTTATAATTATATTTCATATATCTATTTCATATATCAAAGTTTGAGATGCTTATTTATTTATATGCAACATGATTTTCTTTTATTTTTGATGTATAATTTGTACCTCTAGCACCTCCAACAAACCCTAATTGCCACAAACTAACCCTAATTGACGCCAAGTGCCGCTATTATAAATGCAAGCATAGCTTCTTGTGATTGACATGGTTGATGCTCTTGTCACTCTAAACGAAGGTGTTGATGCCTTCAATTCTTAATGGAAGCAGTCTCCGTGAGGATCTGGTCTCGTGGGCTCCAGTGGCGTCAGTTACACCGCCATCTACCTGCTGCTGCTATTTCGGGATATCGGTATACGATTTCATGTTTGAATTGATTGATTCGTATTCTGAAGGCGTCAATGCATGTGCGGAGGATCTGCTTGGGAGCAGTGTAATCAGCGGAATAGCCGAGAATGGTGTGTGATCAGTGTAAGTTTTTTTTTTTTTTTTTTTTTTTTGTGGTTTCTCAAGTATTATTAGAAGTTGATTTGAGGTTTCGGAATTTGTATGTCTTTCGAGCTCCTTAGGGTTACGCCTGGTGATTCATATAACTGACCCGAAAGTTTGGATTCACGGGGTTTCGTGGCTCTGATGCTCGGATTATTAGTCGAGCTATGCCACTGTTAGTGCCTGAATGTTGTTTTGTTTGTTTGTTTGTTGCTTTTGAGCGTGGGTGGAATTCTCCCTGAATTGCGTGGATTACGGCTGATCCTCGACCCGGCATTTGTAGCATTCAGATATTAGGGTTCGTGTTCAACTGTGCAGAGAGGTTATCATTGGAGGTGTAAGTGTGGTGATTATCTTCAGGTGTCGAGGCCTGCTTGCTCAGGTTATGTTGGACTGGAAAATCGCGATACGATGAGTTGTTTTTATCTCATTTCGAATTCGAGTGGGATGATTAGCTTCGTGCACCTAGCTGTGATATGCCTCCTGCTGATGTCATGTACTAGTTGTAATATACTTTAGGCTTTTCGCCGAAACTCCTAAAGATCGAGGTGAACAGTTGTTTTATTCTGTTTGCACTGAAGACAGACTTAGCAGAGCTCATACCTCCAATTAGGTGTGTCTGTTCATTGTGTACTAACACAAGAATGTAGGAGGAACTTCGGCGCCTATTTTATGTTTATTTAGCTTAGAAAATTGGCAAAATTACTCATCTGCTGATTTGTCAAACCAGAGGATGTAAGCCTATTTTTAACATTTATGGTGTCACGTTGACATTTTTATCCTAATTTCTATTTTTGAATTTTCGTGGAGTTGAATGTTTTAATCAGGTCAGAAGAAGATTACGAAAGTAAGAGTACCTGACAAGTGGAAGTAGGGTGCTAGCAATACCACTGAAGGGGGTGGATGAAAAACCGACTGGAACAAGCTTCTCTTCAAGAACTGGTTTGTTTCTGATGTCACCAGCTTGCCATATTTTCTACAATCTCTTTGGTTCCATACTTGAAGTATCGTGCTTTGTATTCTGTTTTGCTTTGAGAAGAATAAGAAGCATTCTACAACAAGCCTGCATGTGTAATTTGAATCCCTGAAATCAAAGTTTTGAGCATTGTTTGTGATATGTTAAGGTACACTCCCTATGGTAAAACTAAGTGCATAATCTGCAAGCAGCAGGTTCACCAGGTAGGGAAGTATTGCCAATCGTTTGCCTAAAAGAAAAGATACGATGTTATGAAGAGATTTCAGGTTTGGTAGCAATGTATCAATTGCTTCTTCAAGTTCATTTTGGTATGAACTTCTGTATAGTGTTTGAGCGTAGCCTGAGTTTATTTCTCCTGACGTACATAATTCTGAGACTGCAGGTGTATGTGCCATCTGTGGAAAACAAGTCTTATGCACCAAAGTATACAAGCGGAGCAATGTTCAACACACGAAGGTGGAGACACTTCTCAATCATGAGATACGGCATTGTGCTGCAGAAACTGATGGTTTCTACAACTTTGTGCGGATAATAAAAAGACAGGTCTCATGAATTATTAAATCTGAACCCAAATTTTCAGCGCAAGAGTATTTTCGTGGAAAAGAATCGGCAGCAGTTCCATCCTCTGTGTAATTATGTATGATCGTACGACATGTCGTACAAACTTGGGATTAGCGTCCATAACAGTGCGATATTTGTAATCTGCGAGAAAAGTTGGACCCTGCATTATCACCTGTTCTGTTTCACCAAATGAGAACATGTACGACTCCGCATTGTAGATAACCTACGAGTTTGATTAGTAAAGTACCAATCTAGGATAGAGGCTTTTCTTACTTTGACACAGTTAAGAAGTTGACTGCTATGACCTGAAGGATGAGGCTGCTACAGGACGAGCTGCTATAACTTGCTTTTGAAGCACTTTTTCGAAAGCTGCTTTGGCAGTGGAAATGTTGAGATTTTCGAAAAGTTCAAGCATGACCCCAAGCGGCCGAATGTGTCATGGGTCGGTGTGCGCCATTTTTGCTACCTCTTGTTTGAAGCATGTGTTCAATGCTATGAATTACTTCTGTCGAAGGGGAAGCACATGCACAGGTCGGAGAAGAAAAAGTCCGAGCTTTTCCCCAATTATTGCGCAAGCAAGCACGTGATTGCAGCCTGCACGACCTGGAGGTACTCATGCCCTCGTCGATACCTCCTGTGACATGCTGATTCAGATTTGCAAAGAGTAGTTGCAGAGCATTACATGTACCATAAAAGACCTGGCGCTTTTCCTCTTTAGGGTGTAGAGTTTTTCAAATAAGATTCTATGGACGCATGACATGAAGATGAGCTTGGAGTGCCAACAAATCTGACATACAAAGAGAATGTTTATTGAAAACAACAAAGTATCTAAAAATACAGACTCTTGAGAATATTAATATTCTAATTTTACTAATTTACCTTTTTCTGTTCCTTTTAAAAGTAAAGGATCAAAATAACTACGTTTAATTTGGGCATATATATATAAACGTATATATATATATATATATATATATATATGAATATAAGTTTAAGAAAAATATAAATTACAAGTGACCCCAATCTCACAAAGAAATGCACATATGGTGAAACACTTAAAATTGGATCTAAAAAGTGTTCACATAAAAATACAATTTCTTTGTTACCATTACTATTTTTTCGTTAAAAATGATTGATCAAGCACCTTTCTAGTTCCAAGTTGACTCGTTGGTCACTTTCAGATTAGAATATACACGTCGCAATATTCTATTTAAAGCAAACGAGAAACAACTTTTTATAAACATTTATTCCTTACTCCACAACCAAAGTACATGCGAAGATTCCTCCAACGACTATGTTCGTTACACGCACATGTGTACATTCACCGAGATTCCTAGATTCGAAGAACAGTGATGAAAGAGGGGATGCCTTTTTTCAGGTCCTAGAAAGCGACAGAGAAGCCAAAAGCCGCCAGGAACGGGACGGGTTGAAAGGGCGGTGAGGGAGACAACCCGTGCTGGAACGTGGGTGGGAAGGTCACCCGTTGTGGTAGCGCCTGCCCGCCTGCCCGCCCTCCTGCGGAAAGCCACTCGCGGTGAAGAAGAAGCAGAGACGACAAAAGCCCAGCGGCACCTAATAAGACACACTGACGCGCTAATCTTGCCGAGGATTCCGACGGCTCTGGCGAATTCGCGGTGGGTCCGGGGTGGGCTGGTGGTGGCTCGGCCGCGCTGCGCGGGGTTTCCTGCAGGAGGGAGGGGGGGGACAATCATGTGCGTTGTTCTGACGGACAAGCAGTGCGAGAAGCCTCCTCGTGCTACTACTGCTGTGTTTGATACTACTACTACAGTGGTCGTCGTGGTGTTGGGTTCCGGTTCTGACTACCGATTAGGGTTTCAGGACTCGTTTGAGGAGGGTTCACCGTCCTCGTCCTTGTCTCCTCTGCAGAATGATCCTTGTCCTTGCAACTGACTGCAACTGCATTTGGCTCGTTGACATTCGGATTCCTTGCCGTTTTCCCGGAAATTCAGGTTTGTGCTAGATCACCGCGCGCGCTCGTGTGTGTGTGTTTGTGTGTTCTTTTTGTGAGGAGAATTTCTCTGCGTGCAGGTGGAACGCGCGAGCGGTCTGTGTCGGGGCTTGTCTGCATATTAGTTGGGAATGCACTCTTGTTTTGAGCTTTGACATTCGGGCGGTGGGTATTGTTAGCGGATGTTCGTCTAAGATAACGTGCCTGTGGGTGCCCTTAAGTAATTCGGTTATGAGGGAATCTTGGGACACGTGGGTTTCTCGGAACTAGACAGGTGATATGAGCTGTGGCGGAGGATTCAGAAGGAGCTGTGAAAGTGGAGTTTTGTGGAGAATTTGGGGCGAATTGTGGTCTCGAGAGGGGCAGAGAGAATGAGCGAGCGAGCTTGGCGTAGCAGTTAAGTGTTGCGGAAGGAGAGATAGTGGATTTAGTTGGTTGGAGTAGTTTTGAGGGAAAGAAGGTGGTGGCTGAGGATTGGAGGTGTGCATCTAAACTAATTCAGTTGCAACACTCTCGTGTAATTGGTTTTAATGAACTTTAGGGCTTGGAAGTTTTGTAGAAGTGTCCGGATGGCACACACTTTGGCACCATGCGGTTGTCAAGTAAGAGTGTCGGCTGGTTTCGTGGAGGAGAACGGGGTATGATTTCGGTCGATATCGTGGACTGTGATGGAAATTTGCGGAAAAACTCTCATATTATTTGTCCTGGTCGAGTATGCTGTACCGTGGACGTGATTTCACCTGTGTTTAGAAGGCTAGAGTTGATCTGTCATGCATGTAAATTATTCGCGGGGCCTTCGAAAATGTGGAGAAATGTGACATAGCTGCTGGTCAATCGAGTTTTTTTCTCGCTTGTCTGTGTTTGGTTTCCTCCTCCCACCTGTAATTGATGGGTTGAGGTTATTCTTGGATTTCAGTTTCAGAGTTTAATCGTTTTAGTTACATAAGATTTTAGAGCATGCGAGGGATAGGATATTATCCACCACTATAATACTCGGCTTACTCTGGCAGTGCTCGTCAAATTACCCGAAGGTTGTGGTCGGAAAATCACCTTGTTCTTGCTTTAATGTTCACTTATAGAACTGTCTCTCGATATCTGCTCTGCCGGTCTTACTCTATGTGTTCGTGTACTACTCGGTATTATCTGGTTATTGCATAGGATTTCATTCCTTTAGATTTCGTACCTTATTACTAAGGTGTTTTATGATAAGAATATTGTTTGGTACGATCTGATTTGTGTATGTTTGATGTGTTTAAGCAGGGTGGACCTTATTGCGAAGTGAATAGCGGTGTCGTGATCACTATGTTTTGAACTGGGAAGGAGATTGCACGATTGATGGTCACTGTACAAGGTGGTGGTCAGCTTGTGGTGTTAGTGGCGGTTTTTCGTCTCGTCGACTCCAGATTGTAGAGAATGTTGAGCAGAGATGAGTTGGGCTTGATGTGGTTGGATGAGATTGGGATCTGTTTTGGCCCTGCAGCAGATGTATTCTGGGAAGAGAAAGTGCATGAATGCAGAAATACGGGGTTATCTCAGTCCTGAAGAGGGGACCCCTTCTATATTGTACACGTGAGGATTACAATTTTCACCAAGTTTTCCGATTCACAATAGGCCTGGGAGCAACGTTTACCTTGGCGTTTGTGCTTCCTTGAGGCGAATCTGACTGAAATTGCCTTGCTAAGTCTCCGGAGAGGGTTGGTTATGCCGAGAGAAAATCATACGGACGATTTAGACATTGTCTGAAAAGTCTCGCATCGTTAAGCGTTGCAGCTTGTGTTTCATCTAGGTAGGGAAAGAACAAATTGACTGTGGTTAGAGGGAGCGACTATGCGCTCTGGGGCAGCAGCAGTGCAGAACACATTGACATTGCCCGCGCAACAGGTTCTGACCCGTGCCATAAACAATGCACATGGGCGTGGGCACGCTCAAGTCCAGCCTTTGCATGTAGCTTTTGTGCTGCTGGCTCACGAGGATCCCCTGCTGCGCCAGGCATGTGCGGATACGCATTCTCAGGCCTCGCACGGGCTTCAACAATGCCGCGCTTTAGAGCTGTGTTTCAACGTTGCCCTTGAGCGGCTTCCGCAGTCCTCCTCAAGCAGCACTGTGCATCCTCTGGGGCTGTCAAATGCCTTGGTTGCGGCGTTGAAACGTGCCCAGACACACCAAAAGCGAGGATGTCCCGACCAACAGCAACCGCCGTTGTTAACGGTGAAGGTCGAGATAGAGCAGCTCATAATTTCCATCTTAGAGGATCCCAGCGTCAGCAGGGTCATGAAGGAGGCGGGATTCCAGAGTCAGAAGGTGAAAACCAACCTCGAGAACGCGATAGGTCTGTCAGCTTCACTGCAGCAAGGCAGCGCGAACCTCCCCAGTTACAAACCTTCTGCTCCAGATAATCATCCACTTCCTCTTTTAATGAACTCAGCCAGTAAGTGACTTGTGATTTGAGAACTTTCATTGTTTATCTTTTTAATCTGTTGCCAGTCTTAAGGTTTGTGAATTTTTCATCATCTATGATCAAATTTCCTTCTTGAAGTTAGTTGCCCGTGATTGAATACTTACCCTGAGATAGTGCTGCAACATGAATTCTTTTAAATGTTACAAGATGTGTCGCTTGATTACTTTGGAGTACTTGGTGCGTGCATGCGACGGCCAGCTAGGTCGAGTCTGTTGGTTAATTTCTGGGGATGTTTACTGGACTTGCTGCAAACTCTTAGAGAGCGTTGTTTGTAGGCACGAATTACAATTGTATCATCTTGTTACCTCCAGTGTCTCACCTTTTGGCGTTTTATGTCTATTGTATGTGCAACAGATGGACTCTATGGGAATCAACAGTTTGCGACCTTGGAAAAACCTTCTTTCGTTCTAAAGGAAGATATAAATTTAAGGTTTTTCGCCTGCCACTGTCTTGTGTATATCTTTATAATACTTGTACTTAAGGTTAGGTTTGATGCACGATACGTTCCCAAACACCGTTTGATTTTTATAAAACCTGTTTCGTTCTTTTCATCCATTTAAACTCCGCTCTTATCGGAATAATTCTTATTTTTGTGAATAATATATAATTTCGATTGTTAGAATTGCCATTTAAAGAGTATTAACTATTAACTATTGTGGTTTTGCAGATCGTTAAAAGTCAACGCTCACGACCAAGAGTCGAGGCTTTCTCTTCCTCTTGTTGGTTGTATGGGAACGACAGCATCCATGTCACCATTGGAATGGGACACACTAGAGGCTACTGCAGATAAAAGTTATGTTTGTTGCTCAGAGTGTATGGCTCATTACAATGCAGAATGTAAGCAAATACAGGCACAAGACAGTGGTCAAGCGCCAATTTGTCAATCACCAAGCAGTGAAGGAGAGGGCACTGTCACTCCTTTACCATCTTGGCTTCGAAGGGCAAAGGACATGAAATCTGAGCTGGTATGCATGCTTATAAGCACTCTATGGCTTAGTGTTATGCCTTGTGTTGCTCTTTAAGTTTATAAATTGTTTGAAAATCGATCATGCCTATGTTTTCAATTCACACAAATCAAGTTCTCAAATTCCACTCACGAGTGATTTTTTTGAGTTTCAGGAGATGCCCCAGTTGCATTCACAGCAACTTTATCGCAAATGGCTATTGACTTGTATGACCTCACACCCTGAAAGGCAAGTCAATTCAGTTTCTTCGCCAGGTAGAGATGGAGGACCCAGTCTGCTACATCATAGCTGGATTAATGCTAGTATACCCAATAATGCTGAAAACTCTGGTAATAATCTCTTTCTTACTCATTTGGACATTTTTGAAGTTTTTTTTATTTTTTTATTTTTTTTATTTTTTTTTGGAAAGATGTGAGCTTTATTTCTTCATTTGTAATGCTAATAATAATAACAGTGGTAATATTAGCTCCTCCTCCTGCTCCAAATGTGTTTTTACTGATTGATTTATCTCCGTTGAATCTAGGGTTGGTGATTCCAAAGTCAACGCCTCTTCAATCCAAGGACATGACACCGCCTCCAACTCAGAAGCCAAACCTGTCGTCGCCTCTTCCACATTGGGCTCGTGGTCTTTCTTCAGCTGCCGTGCCAGATTGTTCATTGACTAGTAACGCCGGTACAGCTGATTCCAAATTGTTCAGGGTGGAGACCGCAGAGAAGCAAGTAGAGAGTTATCAAGCCAATGGGAAGATTTCGCGGCAGGAAGGACAAGGGTTGCCTGAAGATGTAGGACCTGTGTCAAGTCCAAGCCCTTTGTCGAAATTGAATGCTTCTTTGTCAATCACAAGTCCAAGCCCCTTATCGAAATTGAGTGCGTCTTTGCTTATTGGTAAATCTAACCCCGCTCCAAGCCCAAGCCCTCTATCAAAAATTGGCTCTTCTATCCCTAGCACAAACCCGAGCCCCTTATCAAAATTGAAAGCTTCTTTGCCCAAGTCCTCTGCATCGTCATGTCCTCTTAAAGGGAATGTTTTGTCGAGACCAAGTCCTTTGTCAGTACTTAAAACCTCGAAGCCCTCATCCAATTCACCATTGAAGGGGAATTTCACTCTTGTTCGTCCTCAAAATCTTTCTCCTAAGCCTTCACTGAACCAACCAGTTGATATTCTGGCAAAAGATGATCAACCTTCCCTCTTTGATCACAAGGCTGCTGAAAGGCTCAAGCATGTATACAAAGGTTTGTTAGACAGGGTTGCGTGGCAGGGCAGGGCTGTTTCTACAATTGCAACATCAATAGTGAATGCACAAACTGGAAGGGGCGCGTTACGGGGTAATATTTCTAGGGCAGATACATGGTTACTTCTGTTGGGGCCTGATCAAGTTGGGAAGCGGCTTGTTGTTGATGCTCTTGCTGAGCTTGTATTGGGGGTTGGTGCGAAGCCAATTTGTTTTGGAGATTTGGGATTCTCAAGATGGGGAAGAAAGGTTGAAGAAACCGATGGCTTACAGCTCAGAGGTCGTACAGCAGAGGATTCGGTCGCTGATGCTATTCGTGCTAATCCTCTTTCTATTTTGTTTCTTGAAGATATTGACCAAGCTGACTTTGTTCTTCGATCAAAGCTAACCAAGGCTATGGAGACTGGCAAATTTTCCGATTCAAATGATAGGCATATCAGTGTGGGCAACTCTATCATAATAATGACCTCAAGATTGGGAGCAGATTGTAACTCAGGAATAGGGAAGGAGAACACTTTTTCTGAAGCAAGAGTTTCTTCCTTGAATGGTGCGAGGATGTCATTACTTCTTCGACCGCCCAGGGAGCAAGAAGTTGTTTTTCAAGGGGATTCGGATATTAGTGTTGTGAGAGATACGATCTCTGCTTCGCTTCTGGAGAAGCCTGCGAACTTGCTGTTTGAAGGTCAGCTCTTGAAAAGAAAGCCCAGTGGCTTTTTAAGTAGGGCCCTAAAGAAATGTTCGACACCAACTGGGCGCAGTGTCGCCTTGGACTTAAATCTCTCTGCGGAAGAGAACGAAGCTGTCCTGACAGAAGCGGTGGCAAGTTTCAAAGAAAATGCCACTAAAGCATGCACCTTGGATCCAATCCTTCGTGCTGTCCAAGAGGTGTTATCTCCAAAGTTTGTCTCTCTGGTGGACTGTGCAGTAGTGTTCGAGCGTTTTGACTTAATGGGGCAAGCGAACTGGCTATTATCACAATTATCTAGTGCGTGCTTTGGCCTCATACCAAAGGTTTGTTCTAGGATCGAGGTTGACTTTCAGCTTTTGGAGCACATGGTCTCAATCATCTGGCGAACACCAAATGGTCGCCTAGCATTTGAAAACTGGGTTGAAAAAAAACTCAAATCTTCCTTAAATGCTTTTACGTCCCACTCAGGTGTGATCGAAAATAGGGTGCTGAGGTTCGCTTATGAAGACAGTTTCTCAAAGGAGCTGTGCTCTAGTTCAGAGCTACCTCTTCAAATCGAAATAGGCTGCAGTTGAAGTTCTATTTATTTGCCTTTCTTTTTATTTCCTTTTTAGTTTAAATTTGTTGCGTTCAAGTATGCTGCTGAGTGTTTAGAAAACCTAGCAGCGTGTCTTCCTACCGCTGCTTAGTTTAGGACAGATTCCTTGAAGTTAAGGATGTGTGTATAAAGATACACCCAGCGTGCATACCTGAAGGGTTGAAAAGTGTTGAATTCACAGCGACCCTAGAAAAAAGCGTTAAGATTGTAAACTGCTTGGAGGCATTTGTACTAATCATTTTGATCTATTCCACAGCTTTTACACAAGTCTCCATTCTTTCTCCAGCTGTTGGTCTAATCACGGTTAAACTTTCTTGTACATCTTGCAAGCGTGTACGGGAATCTACGCCCTCATTCTGGACTGTTGATAGTGCGTATGAGTAGCCAATTGCCAAATTTTATGTTATACCACAAAATGTATTTGAACACACGGTTCAAACTGACACTTGTTCTTATATTTCAGTCTCTACTCATTTGTCGTGGCTTCTGTGATATATCAAGCAATCCTTGAGAAGTATAGTAAATATATCATGATATATGATGAATCTTTGACACTTTGAATGTTCTGCTTCATTGGTAGCAAATAATTTCATATCTCCAGGTCCAGTATACTATGTATCATTTTCAAGTGCCGTTTTAAAAATACGTCTCAAAGGTCTCAAAAGTTGATCTCACAAGATTACTTGTGGGAAATACTCTTGTTACTTTGCGCATGCTGGTGTAGATTTTCAGTACTATCATATTCCTTCATCAATTAAGTAACTCTTTCAAGGCTCAGAACGCTCTGCAAGTCAAGAGAATCTATCTTATAGTCCAGGCTGGGCTCTGCCTCCGGCTTTAATTCCCATGCTTATCTTGCTCGATGGACGGATCTCGACGTCCTCACGAGAAGAAACTGCATCTCACTTCTCCGTCGGACGAAGGTTTCCTTTGTCTTGGTCCAAAACTACCCACTCCACCAGTACTGGTTTCCACTATCCGGATATGGACAATTCTTAGGGGTTTGACACTGTGTTCAGATTCTTCGGTTATCAGCCTGTGTTGTTGCAATTCCTTAACTTCCAATTTGAAGTCAGCTCGTCGTCAGTTAGAATGTCACAAGTGTGTTCAGAATCATAGCGCAACGCGTTTTGCTCTTGGTTGTTGGCATTGAGAATTGGGTACTGAGTTGGTGGGAGGAAGATTGCGGAACTCGTTTTGTGCTGTTGAACAAAGGGCTGTTGCGGGAGGTCGGAGGAGGCTGACGTTAAGAGAGCTGTGCACAGACGAGAGAAGGTGTGTTTTTCCACATCAATTCAGTTTAGTTGATGCTGTGCCACACATCTCTATGAGGATTATGAGTAGGAGGCTTTATATTCATTCTGCGTTTGGCGCATCGTTTTGTTGGGTGGGGGTGTTGACTGGTCGGGGGTATGGAGGACTTTTGCAAGAATTCGGAAATAGTCCTGTTCGCATTCAAGCTTTCGAAATGGCTGTGTTGTCTGTTTGAATTGAACGTGATTTTACTTTTGACTTCGTGAGAATAATTTTTCAGGTTGTGCCATCGTCCCGTCATCCATCCGACTCAAAATTATACTCACTGACGTGGTTTTTACTGGTGCATCGAGGTTTTTCTCATTCTTCTGTGTATGTATTGTAACCCAAAGAGGGTTTGGGGTTTAAGATGTAGGTTATGGGTTAGATACGTTCTGAACATCAACTATGATAATTCTAGTATTTGCGGACCCCTTTCAGAAGTGCGTCCAAAGAGATCCTTTTCTAGACTAGTTGTACTTGCGTGTTTATTACTGGCTACGAATAACTCAGTGCAGAGGATTGAATGTTCTCTGATGTTTACCCGATTTACATATGAGGTTTTCATGAGGAGACCAATTAACCAGTTTCTAATGTCTTTGTGTTTTTGTTTGTTTAACATATGCAGGGTGAAGTTTTTCGCAAAGTACATGAGAAGGTGTGGATGTTTCAAGACATACTACCGTTATTTTGGGTTCTTCTGATTACAGAGGAAGCCAGACTCTTGTTTCAATGATCTCTTCAAGCAACCAGCCTGTTCATCGTGGCTTTCTTACCCTTCCTTCATCATCAGCCCTTGATGGTTGGTCAAGTTATTCAGGCAATCGACGGGGTCGTAGAGTGGTTGTAAATGTCTGTGTTAGAACATTCCAAGAACAGCTTAGCTTAACCGAAGAAAAGGAGCGGACGCGTTCGGTCAAAGATGTATGGCGCTCAAAGAGAAATGGAGGACAGGCAAAGAAATGTTCCGAAGCAGCAGAGAGCACAAGCTATGTTGGGGAGACAGTCCATAAAGATCGCCCACTTGACCCATTAACGTTCCTAGCCACAAACCCTAATTTACCTCTTTCTATACGTAATGAATTCTCTCTTGCAAATGTGGGTGGTACCACATTACCGTGTGATACATCAGAAAAAAATTCAAAAAGGAATGTTTCGAAGAAGCCTTCACAACTGGGAAAGGACGTCTGGCGTTCAGGTTCCAAGCTCTTGGCTGAGGAGCAGTTGGCTGACAAATCCGAATTGGCGACATCATCAAACAAGTACACAAGTGCTAGAAGTGACAGGTCGAGGAGCGTCTCTGGAAAGAACGTTTGGAGAGGAAGGAAGAGTGACGATGGTCCGGCAATGAATATACAATCCTCGGGTAACACGAACAAAAGTCGAAAATCAAGGAAGCGGTTGTATTTGGTGGATGTCCACCCTTTGTGTTACAATGGGAGTAAGGTGCAGCCAAGAAAGGTAATCGAATGGATGACTCTACTTTTCTCTGAAGTTGTTCAAGACAACCCAATTATTGCAGTTATGGATGGTGAACGGGGAAACGAATATAGAAGAGCACTTTTGCCTAGTTATAAGGCAAAGAGGAACTTTTACAGGCCACTTGGAGCAGGATACGGACACTCAAGCGCAGCCAATGACTTACGGAAAGCTTTACCATTAATTCATGGGTTCCTATCCCTGTGTCACATACCTGTGGTGAAGCAGGAGTTTGCAGAAGCGGACGATGTTATAGCTACTCTGGCGAGGCAAGCACGTCACAAAGGTTTCCAGGTGGTAATTGCCTCACCAGACATGGATTTTCAGCAACTTCTCACTCCCGATGTGCATATGCTACTGCCAGTCCCTGAGCTTGGACGCTGGTCTTTCTTCACGCTACAGAATTATGTTGCACAGAACACAGCTACTCCTGATTTAGAGCTCGGATTGAAGTGCTTGTTGGGAGATGTCAGTGATAATGTTCCTGGCTTGCCGGATGTTTCGCCAGGATTTGGGAAAAACACAGCTTTGAAATTGATGCTAAAGCATGGCTCATTAGAAAATTTGCTAGCTGCAGCAGCTACACGTACAGTTGGTAGAGAATACATACAGGATGCTCTTAAGAAACATGAGAACTTGCTTCGGAGGAATTTGCAGGTTCTTAGTCTGCGCACAGATGTTGATGTAGTTCTGGAGGAGGAGTGGTGTCGGTCACGGTGTATTGATAATGATATCTTGGCCCTACAGCTCTTAAATGAAAGATTGCGAAGTCGGTGATGTCAACCTTGGAGGCTACTTACGAGCTTTGGAAACGTTCAATCACTTGATTTTTCTCTTGTGGGCCAAAATCACTGAAAAGTTTTGGTGGTAGATATATTTCAGCGGGTCAAATGTCATTTGGATTAATTTGTTGCTGCGATTTGCTGCCCACCCAATATGGGTTGTCTGATTGTTTTTGGTCAAATGGAGGTCAGGATGTGTTCTTGCAGAAAAATTGTTTCGGTTCCAAACCCACTCATTAACGCCCTTAGTGAACTGGAGTTTAGAAGTTACTTAATAATTGAGGACTATTCTCCAGGCAAAAATCCATTGCAGCTGCTTCACTGTGCGGGTTGGACTCCAGATATAAGCAAGCGCTTCTTTTTGTGTTCCTCATTAAGGGAAGGGTTAACATCAGTATGAGACTTCCGTCCCAAACCGATTCCTACGATATGATACATTTTGCAAGTTAAATGTGACCATTGATGAGAGGAAAAAGTGAATGAAAGATCTATGTGAATTTTTAACAGTGTAGAAGAATGGTTCATCTTTCATAAAATTTAGAACTGTTGTAGTATTCTGTGGTCCACCCTCAATAATTGTACCTTTTTTTTTTTTTCTTTTTTTTTTTTTTTTTTTTGTGCTTTTCAATTTTGACAGTCATAAAGTATAGGAACTTGGTCTCGATTATCATACAAATTTATTACTAGAAAGTATATACCGGGTATTCACCGGTTATCAACCCTATGGCTCCCAACTCAGCCATCCATTCACTCACTCCGTGTGACATACAGACAAGCCTCAGATTCCTTCCTTCGTTCTGAAGTTGTTGTTGTCTTTGTGTGTCTATCTATATTTGCGGCTAATGAAGTTCAGTTCCAGTTCAGTTCCCAAGGATGCTGAACTACGCAAGCGCAGACATGGCTGGACTGCAAGGAAGGACAAAAACAGACACCAACTAATGCCGAAATACTTTAAACCATGTCACCCACTTGAAACAACCTGTAGACCTTGACCTAAACTGCCTTTGCACAAATCCAAAAACAACCATTCTTCCTGTTGAAAGATTCCAAGTCCATTCTAAGCCCACTAATGATTGACAAACTTTACAGGATGAAGTTGGTGGTTTAGTATGATGGTGGTGGTGGTTTTATGTGTTATTATGGACAGTTTTGGCCAAGTCTTGTGTTGGTTCAAGTTGGTTCAAGGGTCAAATGCAAAAACTGATTTGTTGATTTTTTTCAATTAAACCACTACAGTAATTCATTTTCTTTCTTTTGGAGCACATCAGAACTTTATTTTTCCACCAAAAAATATTTTTTTCCAAAAAAAAAAACCCCTACATTACTGAAAAACCTTAAGTTGACGGTTTAAAGTATTCCAACGTTAGTCCCTGAAACCAGAAATCAGGTGAAGCGCAACGCCTGCCACCTTTTCACCTTCATCTTCGATTCACGCACCAGAGCCGCACATAAGCAAGCGCAGGAGGTCCATCTGTCAACTCTCAGGAGAGACGCACATAATCAGCTCTCCCCATATTCTAATGTTTATCGATTTGAAATACCATGAATGTTGATTTCCAACATATGGGAAGATCTTTGATGATTTTACAAGAAAAAAAATCGCGAAGAATCATTCGTCGTGAGCATCATAAATTACCATTGTGTGAGAGAGAGCTGCCACACTGAAATTACAGAGTCCAGGAACCCACACTAACAAAAATAAAACTGTGATTCGGAAACTCTGTTCACACTGTCGAGAGCAATACACCGGTCCCAAGTATACCCTAGTTTGCACCAAAAAGCAAAAGCTACCAAAATTGCTACGTTCGGGAAACTTTGACTTTTTACATTCGAATTCGCATTATTTATTTATTTTCCGAGAACAGTCAAAACATTCTCTATTTCTCATACAATTGCCAATTTTCAAATACAAATACTGTTATTAATTATAATAAAATGCGATAATTGAAATAACGACAAAGTTTCCAACACGTGTTGGGTG